TGTATCTTGTGATATATCTAAATAGATTTTTTTCAAGAGAATAGCCAAATATCTTAGCATTCTTCCCTTCTACATAAATTTGTGACAAACTTTATTTCCTTTTTCCTAATTTGTCTATGGTCAATATTTTAAAATATAGCTTTTAAACCTATCTGAAATTAATTTTGATGTATCTTGTGATATATCTAAATAGATTTTTTTCAAGAGAATAGCCAAATATCTTAGCATTCTTCCCTTCTACATAAATTTGTGACAAACTTTATCCCATAATAATTTCTTAAAAAAATCTGTTCTTTATTTTTGTACCAACCCTATCATATTTTAACAGCTGTAGCTGCATATTAAGTTTAAATATGTGATTTATTATTCTAACATTTATATCTACAAAACAAACCTTAGAATAAATTTGTATGAAAAACTTACATTATCAGATTGATTGGAGTTACATTACACTTTTAAATTAATATGAGGAGAATTGGTATATGTACTACATTTAGTCTTTTTAGTCAAAAATTTGGTATGCCTCTCTAGTGTGTATAGTATGTATAAATGTTATGTATACTATTTGCTGTGGGTTTCACATAGACATTCTTTATCATGTTAAGGAAGCATCCTTACATTCCAAATGCCCTTGACAGAGTTTTTTGTTTCTTTTAAATAAGGAATGGGCATTGAATTTAGCAAATGCTTTAGAATACATAAGGGCTGTCCGGAAAGTATCCAGCCATTGTTAATATAACGAGAACAGTTACATGGCTAGATACTTTCCAGACAGCCCTCGCATATTAAAATATCATATCATGTTTTCTCAGTCTAATCTGTTTGTTGCTTTGACAACTTTTCTGATAGTAATCTCTAGATTCCTAGACTCAACTCTATTTGTGTGTTAATTATTCTTTAAGTATGCATTTGTATTCTATTCCTAGTTTAAGAATTCTACATCTATACTTGTAAGTGAAATTAGCCTAAATTTATTCATAATATTCTCTTATATTTTTATACTTCTCTGTATGCTTTACTATGTTGCCTTTTTTATGCATTTGATTTTTTTTCTTACTCCAAGAAGGATCATTTGGATGTTTTTATTAACACTACTGCTTTCTCTTTTCTAGTTTATCAATTTTGCTTTTATCTCTTTTGTTTCCTCTTCTCTCCTTGCTTTCCTTCTTTATTATTCTTTTTTTACCCCCAAATTTCTTGAGACCTAGATATGAGGTTTTGTTGTTTGTTTGTTTGCCTCTATTTTTAGATTATGAAATCATGTAAAACCATGAATTACCTCTGAATGTTCTGGCAACATTATATGGAACTCTCATTTCTGTTGTTTTATTTTTTATTTTTTTTCTTATTCAAGAAAAACCCTAACTTTTTCAGGAATTGCTGAATTCTTTTCTATAGTGGCGGCACCATTTTACATTACCCCTAGCAATGTATGAAAGTTCCAGTTCCTCCACATACTCTCCAATACTTGTTATTTAGCAGACAAAAGGGGCTCTTTATATATTTTACATATTGAACCCTTAACAGAAACATGATTTGCAAATACTTTCTCTCATTCTGTGGGTTGTCTTTTCACTTTCTTGATAGTGTCCTTTTTACCTTTTCTCCAGTTATGAAATAAACATATGCTCAATTAGAAAATTTGGAAAGTATTAAAAAGTTCCAAAAAGTATAAAGAATCAGAAAAAGCATTCATAATTCCAACTGAAAGTTAAATATAATCTATATTTTAGCATATTTGTTTTCCATCACTTTTTATATTTATATTTACTTTATATATTTGAATGAATCTTTATGTATAGTTTTGTATCCTGTTTTTTTTTTTGTTTTTTACTTAGCATATTGTAACTATTTTACTATGTCACTAAAAGCTCTATAAAAATTTCTGATAGCTGCATCATATTCTACTGTATGGATATATTATAATTTATTTAACCATTTCCTAATGTTGCATAAATAATTTATTTACAATGTTTTCCTATTAAAAAAACAACACTGAAATGAACATCGTGTGGTCTGGACTCCTTATATAATAGAATTAGAAGCAGAATTACTAGATTAAAGGACTTGCAGCAATTCCTTGATTAAAGCAACATCTTCTGCTCAAAGGCAAATGTCCCTAAGCAGGTGTCCTGTCTTAGCCGTTTTACATTCACTAGCCACTGCCACCTCGATATACACCATTTTAGCATAATTTTGGTTCCAGTAACAAGATAGCATCTGGGGAAGCGCCACTAGGGATAGAGACTCAGGTTGTGTTTATTAAAGATAAAGGTAGGGGAGGGAAGGTAAGAAAACAAGCAGAGTAAAGTCTGAAGTGAGGAATTGTCCAGGGTAGAGCAAGGGAACACTACATGGCACTGAGCAAATGGGGAAGAAAAGGAGACAGGAAAATGTGAAGATATAATAAACATAAACTTGACAATTTCACCATTTTGTCCCTAGTCCCTGGTTATACTCTGTAAATACTTACTGCTAGATACGCAGATTCTTTGACTAGGAAGGTGAGGCAGCTTTACCAGTGACGTGAGCATTAGGTTTCCCAAGTGAATGTGAATGTGATTGCTGAATGTCACCTAAAATTTAAGTGACAGTCTAAAAAACAGCTTGGTAGTTCCTATGCCTGCAAAAACTGTAAATAAAATGCTAAAAACTTTATAATTAATTTTTTGCCTACTTACACCATCCAAAAGGGCCTTGCATTCTGGAGTTAAGAACTGAAAATTCTCCTTGGAACAATTAGTTTGCACAACTGAGTAGGTCACTCGAAAGTTCCATCCAGCCACCACCTGCAATGATTTGGGATTGACTATTTAAAGGGCAGTTTAAACATTCTTCACAGTGATAAATAAATGTTACAAGGAGTTTAGAACACTGCAGGGCACATAAGTGCACAAGAAATATACACTATTTATTATTACTAGGCAAAAATATTACTGAATAAGTACTGTGCAGCTTGAGACTCTCACACAACACACACACACACACACACACACACACAAACACACCCCTTCATCCATGTGAAAATAAAAAGCAATATATAGATGAAGTTACTGTATTTCCTGAAGACCTAATAATATTTCCTCTGACAGGCTGCAGAGAGAAAACGTTTTGCTGAATTTCATAATAATGCTTTTCTAGATAGATAAAGAAAACTTTGGAGAGAAGTGGCCTTTGCTGGTGGATTCTCACACTCCCAGATAACCAGGTGGTACGATTTCTCCTGCTTTATTCTGGGTTGGTCCTACCCCAATTGCTGTATATGGACATAATTGAGTAAAACATACATCTTGCATGAAAGCAAGTTGTAAAGTCTATTAAATGCAGGGAATGTTACTGACCAAAGCGAATCACTCATAATGTGGGGCTGAATTACAAGGGATCCCGTCAACTATCAGAAAAGGCTGAGCGAAATGAATCAATAAAAAGACCAGATTTACAGATATTTACTTTTTTTGTCCTGATGATATGGAAACTACAACTTAGGGGGTACCCAGAAAACCATGTCAACCATTTTACACTCGATTTAGTATCTTGGAGCTATGTTTAACTCGTGAGAGCTAGGTGATGATATAGTTTTCTTAAAACCTTAAGGCCAGTATGACTTTTCCATTTCACTGTCTCTGGAAAGAACATGTAATGATGACCACTCATTTGTTAAAAACAAACTTAAAGGAAGGGGGTCTGATAGCCACCTTTTTCCACTTTACATATTGCACCATTCTACTCACTGTGACTAAAGAGAAAGCCCTTTGCATCCTGTGCTGGTCATGTGAACACACAGAAGAACTCACCCCCAGCCATGTGATAGTACATTTTCCTTTGGCCAATGGCTTCTTGTAGGTAATGAAACCCTAAACGTAAAGATCTAATACTTTTAACAATGCTGCGTGACATGAAAACTTAAAGAACAAACCTGTCTTTGAGCCCGTTTTACTTCACCAAGAGTAAAGAGGTAGGAACGATCAGTGTTGTTATTAAAATGTTGAATGCCGTGTCTCAGAACGGGCTCCAGGTCGGGGTTGTCCGTTGATATGGGATGTACACAACCACGGCAGTCATACTGGGCTGTCACCACAGGGCCCTCGGCTTAACAAAAAGCAGACAAAAAAGCAACATTAATGATCAAAATGAGCATTCAGATATATTGCCCCAAGCAAAGAAGATAATTTAGAAGGCCCTGATAAACTTTCTAGTAAATCCTAGTAGGCATAGAAGAAAAGAGGACACAAAACTGCTTTTTAGTCAGAGGAAAAAATAAACACCTATCATTCATTCAGGAATATCTTATATTCACAATATCCTGCATAATTATTTTAAATTTATTTTAAAGTAATCTTAAATTATAGAAGTTATATATGAATTCATCCTTTTATAAAAAATTAAAACATTATAGATTTAGTATTATTTATTTTTCAGTGTTAATGAGAGCTCCTAGGCCAGGTGTGGTGGCTCAAGCCTGTAATCCCAGCACTTGGGGAGGCCGAGGTGGGCAGATTGCTCGAGGCTGGGAGTTGGAGACCAGCCTGGACAACATAGTGAGACCCTGTCTTCACAAAAAATAAAAAAAGACAAAAAAATTAGCCAGGTATGGTGGCATGCTACATGAGAGGCTGAGTCAGGAAGATCGCTTAAGCCCAGGAATGTGAGGCTGCAGTAAATTATGATCAGGCCACTGCACTCCAGCTTGGGTGACAGAGTGAGACCCTGTCCCCGTCTCTAAACAAACAAACTCCTTGAAGCTCACCTTGGGGTTTAATATATTTTGTGTTGATTCAGTCTGACAAATATATATATTTTTTCATCTGCTGTAACATGCTGGGTGCTGAGCAAGACTACATGGATGCATTAATGTGTTAGTGATGGTCACTGCTGTGAAGGAAGCGACTGTCCAGTGGGAGACAGAGATCATTCCAATGGATTAAGCAAGAGCTTAGAAAGGCAGGAGCCCAGAATTGAGGTCTGGGCAGACTTTTCTAAGGAAAAGATGAGATGTCTGAATGAAGGAGGATGAAGAGCTGTCAGCCCAGCAACAGGAGTTGTGAGAGCGCAGGGAGAAGGGTGTGGGGCTGCTGAGAAAGCAGGATGAGTCAAGGCCCAGTTGTGTGGGATGTGGTGGGTACACAGGGAGGGGAAGATTGAGGTGTGAACAATCAGTAGACAGAATCCTGTGCTGTTGAGCCTACACCTCACTCTCTAGGCCCGGGGTTACTAATTATATTCAAAGGGTCATGGGCTCTTTGGTGAATCTGATGAAAGCTATGGCCCCCTCCTCAGGGGATTGTACACACTCATAACATTTTTCACATAATTTCGGGGTATTCATAGACCCTCTGAAGTGAATTAAGAATGGTCTGGTAGAAGAATGGGGAACCACTGAAGAGTTTCTAATAACACAATGTAAAATAATTAAAAAGGAGTTTGTATTAATATTCAATTCCCAGGTAACGTTCACAACAGCTAGCCCTGACCTACTGGTCAATAGAGGCAAATGCCATAAAAAGGGAAAGGCAGCAGCAGAGTGAGTGGTGCACCTGGCAGGGCCCACCTGGGAGGCCTCGGCTTCTTTCCCCAGTGAGCTCTCACTGCCTGCCTCTGTGAGAGCCAAGCACAATCAGGAGGCCACCAGTGCTGGACGGGGCTGTCGCTCAGTTCTTAGCAGGTCAACAAAACTGGCAAACATTTCTTGAATTTCTCTTCATAAATATGCATGTCAGGAAAACATATATTGGGTGAATATGTCTAGCTTTTCCCTTTCCTCCCTTTGCAGAAGTTATGTTGAATCAGCATAATGGGCAGAGGTAAAAAACTGTAGGGGAATTCCATGCAGAAGATGAGAGAAATACTGATAATTACTGAACAGGAAAGATGGACACAGAAGGTAAAAGGGAGATGGGGAAAGGACCAGAGGCTGGTTTGCCTAGTCTCAAGGGCCAGCTTTTATTCAGAAGATTGACTAGGGGTAAGGAAGAGAAGGACAGCTTTTTGAAGCTGAAAGGAGTAGGGAAAGATGTACACTCAGTTTTTCTGAGTGACGATGATTTTTCAGCCTACCCTGACATTTCTACAGAGATGTCTTTAAAATTAAAATAAATATTTTTAATGACTTGTGATTTCTTTTGTATTTGGAACTTTTTTTTTTTTTTGAACACAACTTCTTACAAGAACCAGAACCCCAGGGATATAATTTTTGTGGGTTCCATGTGGATGACTAAGGCCAGTATACAGAACAGTTCCCATCAATGGTGATTGATGTACAATAATGAAGCTGAAGATGCTGTCCCAGAGCCCTCATATGCTAAAGCTCTACTTTGCAGAAGGCAATTCCTGGAAGGCTTTTGTCATTCACATCACCTAGATGTGTCCATTCCTCTGTACTTGGCACCTCTGCCACATTAGAGAAGAAGCTAACAGTGGTTTTATCTGTTGATAAGTTGCTCCATAATTATATTCTTAAGGAATTAATTTATTTAGGGTCTATTTTACCAACTCTACCAGCTGTGGGATTTTGAGCAAGTTACTTAACTGCTATGGACTTCAGTTTCCTCATCTGTAAAATGGGATACTAATACCCACCTCATAGAGTTGTGAAAGCTACAAATACTGATGAAACAAATTGAAGAGGACACAAATGGAAAGACATCCCATGCTCATGGATTGGAAGAATTAATATCATTAAAATGACCTTACTGCCTAAAGCAATATAGAGATTCAATGTAATTCCTATCAAAATATAATGTCATTTTCCACAGAAATAGAAACAAAATCCTAAAGTTTATATGGAACCCCCCCCCAAAAAAGATCCAGAATAGCCAAAGACATGCTGAACAAAAAGAACAAAGCTGGAGGCATCACACTACCTGACTTCAAATATATTACAGGTCTATAGTAACCAGAACAGCATGACATTGGCATAAGAATAGACACATAGACCAATGGAACAGAATGGGGAACCCAGAAATAAATTCACATATTTACAGCCAACTGATTTTCAGCAAAAAGGGCCAAGAACATATACCAGGGAAAGGACATCCTCTTCAATAAATGACACTGTGAAAATTGGATATCCATAAGCAAAATAATGAAATTGAACTCCTAAATCTTACCATATACAAAAATCAATGCAAGATAGATTAAAAACTTAAAGTTAAGATCCAAAACTATAAAACAACTAGAAGAAAACTTAGGGGAAATACTTCAGGACATTATTTGTAGGCAAAGATTTTATGGCTGGGACCTTAAAAGTACAGACAACTAAAACAAAACTAGATAAATAGAACTATATAAAACTAAAAAGCTTCTACACAGCAAAGGAAATAATAAACACAGTGAAGAGATGACCAATTTAATGACAGTAAATATTTGCAAACTATTCATCTGATGAGGGACTAATATCCAGAATATACAAGGAACTCAAACAGCTCAACAATAAAAAAACCAAATAATCCCATTAAAAAGTGGACAAAGGATCTGAGTAGACATTTCTCAAAAGAAAACATACAAATGGGCAACAGGTGTATGAAAAAATGTTCCACATCACTAAGCATCAGGGAAATGCAAACAAAAATCACAATGAGATATCATCTTACCCAGTTAGAATGGCTATTAGTAAAAAGAAAAAAGTGACAGATGCCGGTGAGGACATGGAGAAAAGGAAACACTTATGCACTGTTGGTGAGAATATAAATTAGTAAAACCACTATGGAAAACAGTATAGAGAGTTCTCAAAAAACTAAAACTAAAACTACCAGATGACCCAGTAATCCCACTACTGGATAAGAAATCTATCTATCAAAGGGATACATGCACTCATGTTTATCACAGCACTATTCACAATAGCAAAGATATGGAATCAACCTAAGTTCCCACTGATGGAAGAATGGATAAAGAAAATGTGATATACATACACAATGGGATACTATTCATTCATAAAAAAATGAAATTATGGCATTTGTAGCAACACAGATGGAACTGGAGGTCATATTATATAAGTGAAATAACACAGGCAAAGAAAGCAAAAAGTTCGCATGTTCTCATTGATATGCATGGAGCTAAAAAACTTAATCACATGGAGATAAAGAACAGAATGATAGATCCCAGAGGGTGGGAGAGGGACATGAACAGAGGTTGGTGAATGAGTACAAACTTACAGTTAAATAGAAGAAGTAAGTTCTAATGTTCAACAGCAGGCTAGGGTGACTATAGTTAGTAACAATATAATTTACATTTCAAAGTATCTAGAAGAGAGAACTTGAAATGTTATCAACATGTAGAAATGATGATGGATACTTCAAATACCCTGACTTTATCATTACACATTCTGAGCATGTACCTCATCAATACTTAAAATATTATGTATCAATAAAAGAAAAAAGGAAGTTAGTTTATGTAAAGTACTTAGAACCATGGCTGGGACATAAGCAATCAATAAATGTTAGCTATTATTAATATTTTTATACTGATTGCCATTAATGCATTGTTATGACTGCTAAGCATTATTCCTTCAGGTGTATCATTTCATTTCAGTCTCACAACAATCCTGTGAAGTGGGAAGTACTATTATCTACCTTTTCGAGACAAGGAAAAGGAAAGCCAAGAAGGTGAGGAGTTCTGAAAGACTCCAGGCCAGGTCTGACCTCAAAGCCTGTGCTTTTCTCACTCTAGGATGCTGCCTACAATTGAGGGCAGGTGTGTGTCTTCACATCCTTTTGCAGAGCCCTGGAGGCACATGAGGAAGAGTTGGATAGTCCTGAGGGGATGATTGTCACGAGCCTGGCCCAATGTCAGGCCCCTGCCGCTCCGCCCGACCCATGCCCGTACGCTTCGTGATGCTACAAATGGCATTAGGAGCCTCTGGGAAAGGGCGGCAGCCTGGGCCACGTTGTGTTCTTGGCACACATAAGTTGTTAATTCCTCCCCAGGGCAGTGCCACCAGATGTATCAGCTACCTGGAGTAATCTGGCAGGTCTGGGTAGCCACGGAAAATACTTCATTCCTCCTCTTCGCCACGGTCGCTGTGCATTCTCCTGTGGCCTAAGAAGAAAAGAAAGAGACCATTTTTCCTAATCTTTCAGATGGAAGTGTCCACCTAGTACTGTTGCTAAACATGACTTTCCTTTAAAAAGTAACAAAACTTGCGAAGATTTTATCCAAAAGAGATTTCAGACATGAGAATGAATGTTTTTGTAGCCTAATGATTATTTTTATAAGCCACTGATATTCGTGAGACATCAGAGGAATGGTAGTATAAATGGTGGTTTATAAGCTTGAGTCTTTGCTTCAAGCCCTGGAGATATTTCTTTTTCACCAAGATGTACACAGTGTCTTAGAATCAGCCCGCTCTACTCTCCTCTTGATTTACTCTCAATTTCAGTGGATCAATATTATTCACATAAACTTCAGTTTAACTTATTAGAAAGAGCAAGGACCTTGGTGTCAAAGTGTCATCCAGTTCCAGCTCTGCCACTTGCATCTCAGAGTCTCAGTTTACCCATCTTACAGGAGGCACACGACATCTATCTCATAGGGCTGTTGTGAAGAGTAAATGTGCAAACACACATAAAGCGCTTAATAGAGGCCCACCACATGGTAGGCATTTAATAGGCAGCCATTTAACTGTTACTGTTGAACAGTGTTGTTGTTTTTTTTAATTACATTTCCTGAATGTAGGATTTCTAATTTCAAAATATGGGCTTTATGAAGAGAGGGGGAAATGTCCTTGGTGATTAAAAATGGAGAGAAGGAAGGAAAGGGAGGGAGGGAGAGAGGAAGGAAGGAAGGGTGGGAGAAAGAAAAGAAAAGACAAGAAAAAAGAAAAGAAAGAAGAGAAAAGTTGGGCCTCATCACAATGATTTCAAAGGCTCCTTCCAGTTCCAGCATTCTGTGGTTTGATGGTAACACCATTCTGGAAAGTAGGAAGCCCAAGATCAAAATGCCAACAGATTCAGTTCTTGGTGAGGGCCCTCTGCGTGGCTTTCAGACAACTACCTTCTTACCATATCTTCACATGATGGAAAGAGGTGTTTTTTGTTTTGTTTAGTCTTGTCATTCTTCAGCTGTATCTACTGCAATTCTCCTAAGTGACAGACACTATTCTATCAGGATACAGCACATTTCTCTTCATCCCCACAGCCTGCGGAGGCAGGCAGTATGGGGCACAGCAGCTAATCATTCCCGCCTTACAGATGAGATCCTTGAGAAACAGAACCAGCACTTACAATCCTGGTCTCCTGACTCAGAGTCCAGCGCTCTTTAGTAAGTGCAGATGACTAGGGCTCATCTTTTATAAGAGAGGCTTGCTTCTGAGGCAGATACCATTTGCAATCTTCCTAAATTAAGGCAAAACAACCAGCTGTGGTGTGCCAGGCACATACGTTAGCAGTTTGGTTAAAACAGCCATTGTTCACAAGGTCATTTACATAATTTTCCTCATTATGTTTTCCAACAACCTGATGAGGTCAATGTAATCTCCCTTTTATAGGGGAGAGCACCAGTTCAGAGAGGTCAAGCAGTGTGCCCACCATCACACAGCTAATTGGAGGAAGGGTGAAGATTTGTACTCAGGCCTGTGCAATTGAAGCACCCACCCTTCCCCTCACCAGCCCTTCAGCTTGGCCCAAATGTTGATCTGTTTTCTCTATGGGACCTGACCCACACGCCCCAGTCCATCACTGGAGCTGTCTTCTCATGGGAGGGCTTTCTCCACATTTAACTGCTGGCTTCTCCATACTTTTTCTGTCTATACAAGAACATGGCTATCAAGCATCTGACTTTTCTACACATTTCAGGATTTATGTGCATCCCTCATAAACAGGCTCACTAATATTAGTCATCCCTGCACAAGCAAAGAAAATCTGGCAGACTTGATGGAGAAAACTGGAGGCTTGAAAACTGTCAACACACTTACAGCTTCTGCAGCTTCCTTGTAGTCACAATCCTGCCAGGTTTTGCCACTTTGAACAGGACAATCACCCTCCTTGACTTGGTACTTAAAGGAATAAAATGTGTCAGGGTTAACCTGAAAAAAGCAACCAGAGATATTAGGGTTCATTTGCTGATCCAACAGCAAATAATTTGAGTGGGTTCTGGTATAGTTATGAGTATTAAATATAA